ATAGCAGGGGCACCGGTCGCGAGCTCATAATTGGGCTGTGACCATCAATCCTCTCTAACCCCGTGGCCAAATCATTTAAGAAAAGATTAAAAAGGAGGGGAGCCAATACACAGCCCTGCTTAACCCCTATTTTGATGGAAATTTTCGGGGTTAAATCACCATCCCTAGAGCCTCTTACTTGACAAGTGGTATCTGTATATAATTTCTTAATCAACAGGAGCAATCTCATTTCAATTCCCAACAGCCTTAACTTCTTCCATAGAAGCTCCCTTGAAACAGTATCAAAAGCACTCTTCAGATCTAGGAAGGCAGCATACAACTTGGACCCTTTCCCTTTTTTGTATTTATTCACTAAGTGACTTAACACAATACAGTGATCCAGAGTTGACTTCCCCTGACAAAATCCTGCTTGTTCTATACCTAAGATTTTTTGTTCTGCCATCCAGGCCTTAAGTTTAGACGCCAAGTGGCTTGCATAGAGTTTCCCTAATATGGAAATCAGGCTAATGGGCCTATAATTACTAGGTGATCTACAGTCACCTTTAAAAAAAATTGGTACGATAATAGCATTTGTCCATGCTTCAGGTATTATTCCTGTCCTGTCTATAGCAGTAAATAAAACTGCTAAGAAGGACGCCCACCATTCCGGAATCACTTTAATGGCCTCCGGGGGAATTGCATCTGGTCCCGGCGCCTTCCCGGCCTTAATTTGAGCAATTAGCGTGACAATCTCCACATCCTGCACCGGCAGCCACTCGGGACAATCCCCTAGACTGATTTTGAGATCCTCAATTTCACTCCTTCCATCTACCGAAAAGATCTTCTGGAAATTAACATAATTAAGGTTGGTGCTACCTAACGCAGCGCTCTACAGTGTTAAATAGTTGAAGCTAGCTTTGTTATTTTCTGTTCTGTATGATTTCTGAGTAATGGATTGGCAATAACTTTTGCTTACTTAATACCTTTGAATAAACATAATATTATTTTATAACATTATCAGATGCCTTACTAAAATCCAAATATACAATATCCACAGCATCCCCACAATCTACCGAACCTGTCACCCAATCAAAAAAAAGGAAATGAGATTAGTCTGACAGGACCTATTAGGGCAAATTCATGTTGACTACTACTTATCACCAAGTTATCCTCTAGATGTTTAGAAATCATCCCTTTTAAAATCCGCTCCAAGATTTTCCAAGGGACAGATGTTCAACTGAACTTCCATTTCCTAAACATGGGCTTTTTTTCTTCAGTGTACCACAGAGATCTCTCTTAATCCACTTTGGATTCTTGGACAACCTTCTGTGTTTCCATCTTGTTGGAATAACAATAGTTTGAGCCTGCAACAACTCATAACAACCCATCATTCACTTGCCACTTTCCGTTCCAGCACTCTTTCCATGGAATCCTTCCCATCATCTCACTAAATTTACTAAAATCAGCCTTACTAAAATCCAGCATACACGTATGACGAAAAACGCCCTCAGTTTCCCATAAAAGAGAGAATTCTAACAAAATATGACTGCTTCCCCCTAATGTGCCCACCCACCACTCTCACCTCATCTACCAGCTCTTCCCTGTTAGTTAAAATCAAATCTGAAATAGCTGACCTCCTAGTTGCCTCTTCTACCTTTTGAAAGAGGATGTTATCCTGCAGACTAATCAAGAAATTACATGACCCAAGGATCTCCCTGGATCAGGGAAATTAAAATCACTCATAGCCACTAGATTGTATTCTTTGGACACATTTGCCAGTTGTCCTAAGAGAGCATCCTCCTCTTCTCCATGATTAGGTGGTCGTTAACAAACTGCAACCACAGTACTGTTGGTCCATCCATTCCTTATTCTCACCCAAACACTTTCCACAGGACTGTTACATTCATCATCCAAGATTTACTAATAATCATACCCTTTCTTAATGTACAACACCACACCTTCTCCTCACTGACCCTTGCAGGTCTTTTTAAACCTATCCCTGTACTACCACACTCCAGTTATGAGAATTATCCCACCAAGTCTCCATAATGACTATTAAATCATATGCCTCCATCCAGATTAGAAATTCAAGCGCCTCCTGCTTATTCCCCAAATATTGGGCGTTAGTGTACAAACACCGTAAGCCTCACACCCCTGGACCTGACATCCTCCATATCTCATCACTTTGAGCTCTCCATCAGCTTCTCAAATGGCTCCCTATTATCTCCTTCTAAGTTCAAACAGATGTCTTTGTTCCCCTTCAGCATTCTTTAGCTTTATGTATTCCCCAGATTTTCAATTCCTTTGTTTTTTACAAAGAGAAATGTTCAAGAACCTCTGGTGCTCCTGAAGCTTCTGAATATAAACTCTGATGGTTGTGTCTGTAGAATCCCTACTACCTTGTCTCGCATATGCATGCAAAAGTATGTTGAGGAGGAGAATTGTCGATTTGCTTAGAGCAACCTAACCTGAAAAACTAAATTTCTGTAGGTGGTGGCAGGGACTACTAAGGTCTGTCCGTTGTATCGAAGGGCACACAGCAGATTCAGAGAAACATGGGGAATCCGTATTTTCTCCCCTTTATTATTTATTTCTTGACTTTCTGTCTGCTTTCTTTATGTTAATTCCATCAGCCACACTCTGCAGCCCAAAGGGGAGCTCTGTCATCTCAAACAACCATAATTTCCATCCTTGGTGACAACTTGAAAACACTTATGGGTTTTCCACACACAAACTAAAAGGTGCATTTTAGAAACAGAGAATTTTCCTCTGTGGATTTTCACCAGCATAGCAAATATGAATGGGCTAAGGAAACAGACTTTAAAGAAGATGTATTTTCCCTCTCCTTGCATCATGTCATTGAAAAATAATGACTTTTCTTGTTCCTCCAGCAGTAGCTTTTTTGACGGGCAAAATCCTAGATCTAATGAACCATTTCTTCATGGGACACACTCTTGACCATTTTTTGAAAGCTCTTTAGAGGCGGTGTTGACATGCACCTTGTTAGTAAAAGTGACTGCCCTTTCTCTACTCATTATTATTAAAGGCATCACGCTTGTAGGTTGCTTGCTTCATTCGGAAATGGCTTCTTCTGTACCACTGCACAGGTGATGAACTTGCTCTGGGATAGGTGTTGGAAGGTTTCTGACTGTAGAGCCCTGACAGCTCCTGCCAGTCTAGTGACTGTGCTGTGTCTTGTCTGTTTGGCACAATTCCATTGACCAGGTTATTGGTGTCTTCTGGCTACCTCCATTGTAAGTAACATATTAATGGCAACAACTAGTGTTGAGACCTTGCCAATCAATATTGACATTGAGAGTTAATTGACACAAAATAAACTGCATCTCTTGGTTTGTGTACAAGAATGATGTCTTTTTGTACTCTGATCAATAATGGCTTCTTGTAGGGCATTGAAACAAAGCTCCTGCTTTCTGAGCTGTTTGACAGAGGTCTCCCCTGTGATTTTGGAGCTGTCTTTTCCATTCTGTCTCATCAAGACAGATTAACTGGAAGGTTACATATGAATTGCCTGTCAGGATGATTCTGTCAGGCATTCCTAAGTGTTTATCGCTGTCATCAGTATTGAGTCTAGACCTTCAGCCTTTGTCTGGACTCTTATTCAAACAAGAAAATAAGCAATATTGCAAGTGTTCACTCTGCTGTACACAGAGGACGTTTTCCTGCTTTGTTTTTTATGAACTTGTTCTAAAGATGCTGTATCTGCTTAAGTTTAGTTGATCTTGCATCTTAATAAATAAATGTAGGATTACAGCCTTAACTGATGTTATCAAATTTATTCATAACAGAGTCGTTGATTTCATTAAAGGACTGTGAAACAAGAATCTCATAGGGAGTAGTGAGTTTCATTGGAGACAGCTGAAATTTTTTTAAACTTGCTTTATAATACTGTTACACTGCACTTTCCACATAGATAAAAGCCTTAGCAGCTATTTATTCAAAACTGTGGGAAGGAATCAGAGGAAAAACAGAAAGGTAGTTAAAATAACCTGAAGCCGTGAGCTTAAATAGATAGAATGTTAGGGGTATTTAAAAATTGTTCTGTTTGCTTTTCTGATATAGAAAGATAAGCATGTATTGTGCACTCTAACCCCAAATATTGTTCTTTGTGCACTACATTTTCATGTTTTCATGGACATAGATGTGACTTCATAGGTGGACACGTCTTTAGTGAACCATGATACCAGTTGGATGTGATTCATGGGATTCTGTCTAGCATTCCAAGAGCCCCATAGGAAGCTTCTGTACCTGCAGCATATTGGGGGGGGGGGGTGTTCCTGGTTGCAGGCTTTCTTCATGCTCTACAGGGTATTTTGAAGTCCAGATTTTAATGTTTGGGGCACTCTGGAGTGGCAGTTAGAACCTAATCTGCTTCCATTGTAATCTCTGGATTTGACTTCAGATTTTTTTCAGCAGTGCTACAGGTTTACCTGACCAGGAGTCCACTCCATGTGCATGATGTTCAGAATAAAGGCTCACCTTCAATCTATGTTACTCCGTTAACATTCTGAAAGACTCTGTATTCTTTATCAGCCTTCAGTATCACTGACAGCTACACTGAGTTAACCTCAAACCCATCACTTAATGGAAAAGAAGCGGCTAGTAGCAGGGCTTTGAAACAGAGTTATCCACCTGACATCCCATGGACAACACTTAAATATGTGTTTTTTTGTCTTTTACCTTTTCTGTCTCTTGTCAATGTGCTGCTGTTCAAGCCTTCTGCAGTCAGGTAAAAAGGGAAAGGATGAGTCTTATTCTGTGATATCACCATGAGACAACGCAGTTTCATTGCCAACTCCTCATGGAGAATTATGTTATAGAAACTTATCTCTGTAAAGGTTTCTGTATGAAGTGGTGGCGCTTGAGAATAGCAGTTGTGAAAACATAGACACAATATTGCATTCTAGATGTACCCGTGCATAACTAAACATTTGAATTATGCTATTCTGGTCTTTGAAAGTAGTACAGTTGCCAACGTTCACTTTACTTTTTGTGTTTTTCAGGTTAACAAATAAAAATATTATTCACAAAACTCCAGAATGGACCCTTATTGCCCTTGTGCTATTGTCTGTGTAAGTACACTAATGGAATTCACTACTTCTCAATATACGTAACAATAGTTGGAATTAAAATGAGTATAATTGCCCTGAAGAATATGCAGTTGAGTGGTCGGTTTGTTTAAATAAGAGTGGAACTTCCATAATTTGGCCTCTAGCCTGGCCAGTTTTGTTGCCCTCTCTCTTGTTAACAGCCTCAGAGGTGACAAGACTGGAAGGAAGGAAGGAAGGAAGGAAGGAAGGAAGGAAGGAAGGAAGGAAGGAAGGAGAGAGATGGAAACAGGCATTGCAGTCAGTGCTGCTGGACTTCCAAATAGTCTGGCATTCTTCCACAGCCTGACATGTGAGTGTGAACACTCTTCTCCACAGCATCTGAACTTGGGTAATTTGAGGCAATTAGTAGTGAGGGTCTAGTCCAGTCAAGTACATCTTGTTACCCATTACATTGAACAGTGAACATCAGTTGGGTACTGTCAGGTCCCCAGTCCTACCTTACCTTTGCAGGGGGTGGGAGTAAGGTCCCAAACTGAAAAACCAGAGATCTCTTGCACCCCATTGTGTATTGGACATAAAAGTTTGATGTTTTGTTCTTGGCTTGGTGCAGTGAGGCTAGCTTGTCTTAGACCTGAAGAAACAGATGATCAGGATGGAGAGACCCTTCCCTTTTATAAAAGCAAATAGGCTCTTTCTCCATTAAGCCAAATCCTCAAGCACCCCACTGTTTGGCTTTTCTTGAGGAAGATTATGGTGTCAGTGGCAAGTCACCAGTCTCTATGAACTTAATCCACTCTCTGGGAACGAGTTCTACCCATCAGCCATGGTAGTGTAGCCTGTCAGTTTTTGCAGCTCTTCTTTTCTGTGGGCTGACTACTGTGGGCTTGGATTAATTGCTGTGAAGCAATATTTCTAACTGTATTTGGTTTGCCAGTGGAATGGGGGGGGGGGGGTTCCCAGCCTTTTTAGCACACGCAGAGAGCCATTTGCAAGCTTCCTTGTGATCTGTCTGCAATTGCCTGTGATGAGGTAGCTAAAGAGGGGATCTCTGTTCTATGTACAAAGTGTTTTAAGTGTCTCCACAGGTGTAGGGCAGTAGCTTGCATCACAACTTCTGTTTAAATCTTTTCAACACCTTTAGAGCTTTCTTTCAGTCTTTCTGCTAATTACGATGAAGCAGCCCTCTTGAGGTGGGGTGCTAAAATGTTAACACTGTAAAAGCAGCATGACCTCACGGCAGTAATTGATTCCAGTGTTTAAACCTATAATGTTTTCCCTATAAACTCTCATCAAACTCATTTTATTTCCATGTTTATGCCTCTTTAATTGTACTTTCTTACATGAATTATATAATCATTTTGACTGGGCTACGTGTGTTCTCACCTTCCCCTTTAGTCAGCGCTTTCTTAAATCAGAATTGCTGGGCCTCTGGCACTCGTATCCCCAGAATTAACCACCCCAATCCTTTATCTTGAGAAATAGTCAGGGTTACTTCTAAGGTAAGGGAAAGGTACTCTGCACATACCCTAAGGCACCCTTTTCTATATTTGCTTTAGATTTCAAAACAGATCTACAGTCCAGTAAGCCCTAGCTGTGATAAACCATTGATTTTTAGCTCAGCCTTGCTAAATTAGACATTTTATGGACACCCAAAATCAAGTCTTTATCATAGATGGGATATATATATATATATATATATATGGTACACTATTCTTGATGGTACAGGAATAGTGTGTGCTGGATCCACAAAAGTGTTCCAGAGTGCCAATCAATAATGTAGTACAGAAAATTTTCCACTAGAGGCACATATCTGGCTGTGCACTTCCTTTGATGGAGCAGCATTTTTGTTCTAAGAACAGGGGATAGTGATTTCTGACAGTTCCCCTTCCACTGCAGACCCCCCATTTTGTCCCCTGTGCTATTCCTGAGTATCTGCTGACATTCATGAACAAAATTTCGGGGGCTCAGTGGACTCTAGGAGAAGGGGAAGTGCACTCTGTAACATGTATGGATGTTTAGAGAAATGCCACTGTTTTTCTGTGGAAGACTTTTCTAAAATTCATTAATAACATAATGAACTGCTAGTCAAATCAGCAATTTCAAGGTTACAGTTATCTTTTTTATTTTAGGTTTCTTTCCTTGAGATCATCAATATATCTAATTCTTAACATGGCCCCATCTGTGGATACTTAAATCCAGAGAATGGAGCCATGGACAGAAAAGACAGATCTTTCTACAAACCTGAGAAAAACACCAGATACGCAGAAAAAATTGGAATTGTTAAAAAAATACATTGGTGGAATTAACCCCTCCCAAAATAATAGAAGCAGCACCTGTACCCTCAAGAAAAAAGAAAAGAGATCTCAGTGGCCTTTGTGGAGGTTTCCTTCAAACCTCGTTTTTTGTCAGTAAAAGGCTGGGGGGTGGGGGCGAGTTTCCAGGCCATTTTAGCCTCCCAGTACACCCTTGCTCCCTTACCTCCTGCCTTAGAGACAGGACTCATTGCAGCCCGGTCCAGCAGCAGCCATTAGGCAACTTGCTACCATTTAATTTGTGCGACTCACCCAGGTGTAGCAGTGGCTTGATGTGGTATATGGTTTGAGTGTCTGACTAGGATCTGGGAGACCTAGGTTCACTTCCCTACTCTGCCTTGGAAGCTTGCTGGGTGACCTTGGGCTAGTCGCTCGGCCTATTCTACCTCAAAGGATTGGTGTGAGGATGAAATGGAGAGGGGAATGATGTCAGTTGCTTTGGAGAAGCAGCTTTCCCCACCCCACTGGGTAGAAAGGTGGGGTATAAATGAAATAAATAAGAAATGAAGCTGAAGATTGAAGGGGCAAATAAAAGAAAGGTTGATTGGTGAGTAGGAAGGAGGGAAAGTCTTTTCAGGTTCCCCACTTGTGTGTGTTTGTATATAAAATATCCCTTTATATTATGTGTGTGTGTGTGTGTGTATATAATTGTATGTATTATATATATATTGTATATACAATACCCTATTAAATATATAATATCCTATTAACACATACACAACATTTAAAATGTTTGCTTTATTGATTTTTTTTACTTAAGTATTCATTTTGTTGCTAGAATTTTTTTAAAAATATATTTTTAATTAAAGTGGCATGGTTTTTGGTTTTACTACACATAACATGCTCATTCATATACCAGTCCATTTAGCATGGGAAATTTTTCCAAGTCAGGGGTTTCTCACAAAATTGATACCACTGATTCTAATGCTGTATCTTCTCCAGCCCCTGTGCAGACAACCTTTAGGTATTCCTGGGAACTAGATTCTGTGTGGTCCACAGCCTGTGCATCTACCACTGGTGCTGTTGTCCTCCTGACCATAAGGTTTGGTAACTGCCCCAACCTATTACAAAGCCTCCTGAGCAGGAGCAGAAGGATGGAAAGATACCATCACTAGAGTGCTTTTGTAGGTCCTGCTCTTAAAAAGTTAAATAGAGGAAAGTAAATTTTCAGGTAATAATAACCATTTCCCAAACAAAAGTATATATGGGGGTGGGGGTGGGGATTACTTTCATTTATCTTTAAGAGAAAAAAGAAGAAATCACTGGTGGCTTAAAAACTGTGTCATGGTTTACCTTTTAGTAAAGCTGAAACCATTGAGCCATTTTTGTGTGGCTTTCAGCTTGAATTACAAAAATCTTATTTCAGAGGCTGTTTATTACTGCACTGCTGCTTTTTCTTCTGGGCTTGCTGGGTCATTGGAGTCTCTAGGACAGAGAAGTGCTTACCAGCCATTCACAGATCAAGACGTGTTGTAGGCCAACCTCATAGCATTCCCAGAACTGCACTTACTTTGATATTACTTCGGTCTGACACATTGTTCTGCTTTTGGTGTCCCAAGAAAGGCTATACTAGAAGGCATTAGAGTAGGCTCCAGCGAGCCTTACATCAGTGTCACCCCAGCCAGATACTGCTCAAACGATTCATTAAATCAGAACACAGAAAGTAACTTTACTTGAAGGCCTTGGAATCAATTATTTATTGACTGTAAGAACAAATCTTTTGTCATTTTTTTACGATACGCTTTTCTGGTTGAGTTCCTAATGTGTGAAACGGATCTTATGAATTTTTCAAGCGGTATCTTTACATTTAATAAAAGGGTGCCTGTTTTGTTCACAAGCAAATATGTGTGTCTCTGCAATGAGCTGTAAATGTTTCCAGATATAAATGCTTTAAAACCTCCCCCCCCCAATAATTTACCTTCCTAGGAAGAGTAAAGTTTGCGTTGCCAAACTGAGGATCCAATGTCACAGTGACATTATTTTTCTTCTGTAAGAGCCAGATACTGCAGTTACAAATGGGAGCTCTTGTTGTGGTTGTATTGGACTTGAACTAGTCAGTTCAGATATCCATGTAGGCTAGCAGAGAGTGGCTGGCTCAAAGTCACCCAACAAACTTCACGACTAACCATGCAGTCCTAAGCAGAGTTACACCATTCTAAGCCCACTGAATTCAGCAGGTTTTTAAAAATGTGGCCCTGTTTAGGATTGCACTATAGCTTACTTTACTTTATTTGAGAATAAAACAGGATAATCCCCATCTATGGATCTGTGACAGAATAATGTGATAAAATGATGGCAACCCTGTTTGGCCCTTAAAAAGCAAGGTTTGGAGACATCTTCATACAACCAAAATATCTGACTGCATACTGGTCTCGGAGCCAGTTTAATCTGTATGTATAAATTGGCGGTGCCTGTGAGATGGTCAGGAAAATTTACTAATCACATCATTAGCTTGGAGAAACAACGACTGAGGGGTGACATGATTGAGGTTTATAAGATTATGCATGGGATAGAGCAGGTAGAGAAAGAGGTACTTTTCTCCCTTTCTCACAATACAAGAACTCGTGGGCACTCAATGAAATTGCTGAGTGGTCGGGTTAGAATGGATAAAAGGAAGTACTTCTTCACCCAAAGAGTGATTAACACATGGAATTCACTGCCACAGGAAGTGGTGGGTGCTACAAGCATGGACGGCTTCAAAAGGGAATT